ACACACACACACACACACACACTACGACACACACACACACACACACACACACACACACACACACACACACACACACACACACACACACACACACACACACACACACACACACACACACGAACATGCACACACCCATGCTCCAACACCACCGCGTTGGGAGATTATGTCCGTTAGAGACATTTTCATGTCGTTACCAGCGAGTGTTAGTGTGTATATGGAAACTTACGACAGCTTTTCGTCGGGGGACACCAGTTTTAAAACTACATGTAAAGGCTACAACCAAAAGATTTGTCATGGACTCAGCATTATAGCAAAGACCGTATACAATGAGCCGGAAAACTTTCGCAACATTACAATTATGACCGCATGACGTCAGCGCCGCCCAATTGCGAGTTTATTTCCGCAGGTTACCAGTTCACTGATAAAAAAAAAGAACGTAGTTGTGTCAATTATCTGATAATCAGCGAATGGTAGTGTGGGTTACTCTCAAGGTTTTAGGCAAAATTTCACAAATTTTTCTTTTTCAGAGACATGATACAACCAGCATTGTGAGCATTGAGTGATCTACGACAATAGATACATTTTTCCTTCTACACCTAATTTATATTTACGTCACTAACACGTGGGCGTGGTCACATGGTGTCGGAAGGGACGTCACGTGGTCATGTGGCAGTGACGTCACGTCACGTGGGCATGGTCACGTGGTGTCTCTTGACCAATCAGAAGCCTCCCACAGGGCCAGAGTACAGGTTTCCCTACTACTCACGCACGCACACACGCACGCGCGTACGTATGTCCATGCACATCTTTAGAAAACTAAAAGTTCGCATTGGTAAAAATTTTAGGTCACCATCGTTAATGACCGTGTCGACTGTTGCCATTACGGAGGAGAGGTGTGGATTAATGGAACTATTGCCGACAGAGAACAACTATTTAACATGGAAATCGAAATACATAGAAATCTGTATAAAGTGAGTGCAATCGATATATATATATATATATATATATATATATATTATAACATTGATGTACAAGAGAACAAGTACGTCATGAACGTTCATCACACAGCAAAGGAATTTACCACCATACTGCTCTCAGTTCTATATCTTTGGTGTGGTTAAAAGCAGATATATTGATGTCATAACATCAACATTGTAGTTCTCGATTTAGCAGACGTTATCATTTGAAAATGATATATGCAATGATTTTAATGTTTCTTTTTAATCATTTTGCACAGGTGTACGCAAACGGAGACTTACTTTGGAGCTTCAATAAGCGTGCCCAAACCGATAACGAGGACATTAGTATATTTTTCATTTGGCAATTGGGTTTAGCGGACCTATGTATCACTTAATCCGTTAAGGTTTTAATTGTTACACTAATATACATGATTATAACTATAATGGCTGATTCAGTGCTTACTGGGTTCAGACTAGTGTGGGTCGAGGGGAAATCTAGATGCGGATCCAGAATTTTGTAATAAGAGAGGACACTAGTGGCTTGACCTGGAATTTCCAAAAAATGTATTCACATAGTTACAGCCCTGAAATGGGTGTTTAAGCATAAGAATCTCACTCAGAAATGCTGTTGCTATTCAATCTGTACTCGCGCATGTGCGCGCGCGTGTGCGTGAGCTTGTTCTCTGTGTACCTGTCCGTTCGTCCGTCCGACCGCCTATCCGTTCGTCCTTCCAACCTCCTGTCCGTCCGATCGTCCGCCCGCCTAAGCCCGCCCGCCCGTCCGACGACCCGCCTGCCGTCCGTCCGTCCGTCTGTTTGTCTGTCTGCATTTTTATTGATATGTTTGTCTGGCCATCTGTCTGTCTGTGCGTCTGTCGTCTGACTGCATATAGTGCTGTATTCTCGTGATTATACATATATATAGCGTATATATATTTAGTATTTGCCTCCGAAGTGCCAAAATATTTAGAATATAACATTAAATATATATATTGAATTGTGTAATGTTTTATTTTCAGTCATACTCATATACATTCTCAATATTCACATAACATTCCCGCATCTTTTCTATGATTTTTGTACTATCGGTTTACAAAATTTACAGCGTAATCTTACCTTTTATGTATTTCTGCTGAAGCTAAATGTAACCCGTAACTACAACACATGGTCGTAAGACAGATGATCTAGTTATAATACAGTCACAATTGTAAATAATAAATACAATTAGATTCATGCGCTGTGTTTAGTATATATAAGGTTATATATTGTACATTATAAACAGACGTCTGCGCAATGGCGTTCGTGTATCGCCAGAATTTGTTAATGGTTGATACCACTAAATTCCATATCGCGAGGTGATGTCACGTTGTGAGACTTCAAGCGTAACACCTGTGGTTAAATGAAGGGCCGAGGGTGGGTACCACTGATGTCTATATACTAACTGGATAGCACTTATATATTAGCCTATCCACTGTCCGTAAGAAAGTGACGCCACAGTGCCACTACCGCCATCTTGCCACACTCCCAAAAGCTATCTGCCCGTGTGCGCCCACACAATTTCAATTGAATTATGACGAAATGCAGCTTATTTTATTATTTTTATTATATATGCAAACAGTTTGATAAACACGACAAAATTAGGACCTAATATATTTTTTATAGATAGATAGATATATACAGCGAGAGAAAGAGAGACAAAAAATATGATAGTCTACACATGGATGGATGGATGGAGGGTTTTGGATGTGCATGACGTTACGGATCACCTGAAAAGTCGACTCAGCTTATTGGCCTGATGCTAGTTCGAGGAGTTGTGTCATCACGTCGGGTGACTTCACCTATTCGGCACTAAGCGCTATCCAGTTAGCATAAGATAGAGATCGGTGGTGGGTACCAGCTAATAATGCGGCCAGTGAGCCCCCCTCCCGCGAAGATGATTAGTTAAATACCAATCTCGGTATTTTTGCATACAATAGATAGGTAGTTCCATTTTAGTATCAACTTCTAGGAAATATCTTGACTATTCCAGCTTCTACCCAGTTACTTCTCGCTCAAAATCGGAGTCACATGTTACCACCAAATATTCCTTCGCGGTAAGGAATTTTATCGATAACCAGTAATGGCCACGAAAAATTACACGCTCGCGCGCACGAACGAGCATTCGCAAGCATAGCATACAGATGCCCATACTATATATGGTGTGCAGCATATGGTTACTCGATTGACAGATCGTACACTATATTCTCATCTTGTTTTAGTCATGCATGGCGGATTGTATCAAAAGTCCCATAAACTATTACACCTGACTACTAATAAACTGCCGTTTGACTGACGGCATGTTTAAAAAACCACATGATAATCGCTTGAAAATACCATATATAGGCGTCACTGCGAGGCTTTCCTACGACAAGAACAGAATTTATTCGTGCCATCGTCCCTCTGATAATACATTCGGTAGCATATTCTGAAACTAGGACATAGGCCCCAACCGGTATTCCCTGTAGACTGTGGGACTTCTCTCGTACTGAGATATTTTTCATGTTGTCTAAATTAAGCGATGAATCATTCATCATTGTTGATTGCAGGCGAGCCACATCACAAGGTAATATTCACATATATCTAATTATTGCGGGCGCTCTCGTAAATTACCACGTAGAGTCCCTTGTATAGAGATGGAATACACAGAGACAAGCACGCGCAGCACGCACGTACACACGCGCACCCCCACGTACACGCGCACCCCCACATGCACTCACGAACGAACACGCATATATATGTATATTGTTTATTAATTTATATGATATATTTATTTATAGTAGCGCTCATTCGCATAGTGACACCTTGGGCAATATAGATCGTATTGATTATGACCTATTGCACCGACAGGTTATCTCAGTATGCTACACATGGTCTCACATGCATGGTGTGCGCACGCCCGCGCGCGCGTATATATGTGTGTGTGTGTGTGTGTGTGTGTGTGTGTGTGTGTGTGTGTGTGTGTGTGTGTGCGTGTGCAGTGCGTGTCGTGTGTGTGTGTGTGTGCTGTGTGTGTGTGTGTGTGTGTGTGTGTGTGTGTGTGTGTGTGTGTGTGCGTTGTGCGTGCCGCGTGCGTATATATATATATATATATATCAGGAGTAGATAATAAGGAATTATTGTCTACTCCTGATATATATATATATATATATATATGATATATTATATATATACACACACACACACACACACACACACACACACACACACACACACACACACACACACACACACACATATACAACACACACACACACACACACACACACACACACACACACACACACACACACACACAAACGCGCGCGCGCACACACACACCACACACGCGCGCGCGCGCGCTATATATATAACAATATATATATTGTAAATATATATATATGTATATATATATATATATATATATATATATTTATATATGTGAAGAGCTTGTTTCCAAAAGGTGTTAAATCCATAAATGTACTTTAGAAGATATCGTCACATTTTTAGTTTGGTAATGATCTCTTTGCCTGGAACACAGTTTTTCACTCTGATGTTTGAAGTGAATGGTACTTAGCATAAAAACACACCTGAATGAAATCTAGTGTACATGATTGATTTATAATTAATTTGTGTTTTTTAATAAAATTTGGATTTAGCGCGTGCGCATATATATATATATATATACATATATATATATATATATATAAATCAAGAGCTAATAATACCTATTATTGTTAGTATTATTAGCTCTTGATTATATTTTATGTCGTTGAACTGGGCATGTAAACGAATATGTTAGGCTCTAGCGAATCCGTGAACTTCCGCGTCTATGTCGAATTTAGGAAAACGTATTAAAAGACTTGGCGGCGTCAACATTAGAGCTATCGTAATGGTTTAAATAACTTTGTCCGCTGTTATAATTGTCGTCATTATTGTACACAGTTGGACGAGTGCCGAATTCATTTGCATAGCCGTTGCCACGTGAGTCAGCACCCGCAGCGGCTGTGATGGTCGTGCATCGTTGCTTTGCGCTGCTGGCGTCAGGCTTAGTGGGAAATTGGCTAACGTTGCGATCGTTATCGGCCGTCTTTACTCTAATCACTTTGGTTTCTACTCGCGCCCTGCCACGATATTTGTAGTACCTGCAAAGGATGATTTAAAAATTGCATAATAGATAGGAATATCGGTCTACAATCTAGTGTTGGCTGCTTCAAGTTTGTCCTCGGCATTTTTCCGTTAAAAAGAACGTTAATGTAGGTCTAATACGCAAAAGAAAAGATACTATAAATATTAAATATCGAATGCGCATCTTTTTCTTCTTCAAGAAATATATGCATGAGTTGCATAACCTAGGCATGCGTTCCTATGAAGTATTATCGAACTTTGGTGCGTGCAATGCATGATATGAGCTACCATCCGTGTCTCCGGCCATGTGGACAATACACACAGGCGAGCCCTCACGAACAGTCACACTCACGCACCACACGTGCACACGCTCGTGCGCGCATACACACACTCGCACGCAATCACGCACGAACACACCGCACACACACACCGCACGCACGCACAACGAGCACCCCATACGATATACATATCATTGCGTCATATTCAACGCACCAAAACTCGAAAGCAAGCATGATGAGTGCGAGAGTCACACCGATCAGGATCAACAGGAACACGCCGCGGATGTTTTCTATCGTGATGCCGTCGCCCTCATTCTCGGATTTCGGGCACACGTGCGTGGAGCTCCACCATTTCTCCTTCAGCTCCTCCAGTGATCGCTCGTTGAGCAGCTTCAGAATACTGCGAGCATGCAGCGCAAACATAAGCAATGCCATTTCGATAATGAAATCTTTGTAAATTTAAAAGATACAGTACTTCAATATGCATATACTGCGATTGATTAACAAATAAATGCTTTAAACGTAGCACCATGAATACACAAGGTTGAATCACATCTATTTTAGTATTTAGTCATCTATAGTATTCATCGATATTGGTAATAGTAATATTTAAAAGCCGATGTTTAAATTTGACTTCATCAAGTTTATAAGTTATAAAATTGATATTCGACATGACGTAAAGCTAAATCGAGCGAAAACATACATTGCACCACACGCATGCGATCATAAACACGCATACACACTAACGCCTAACATTAAAAATACATTTAATTACTCGTTGCGTGTGGAATACACGCAACAAAAGCGTAAAAGCTCTGTACTAGCCTAATTTCTATTAGCAGTCGCGTGACATCGGCGCTAACGTATAATTTAATAAGGTTATCGAATAGCTTGCAATTATATGTTTGCAACATCCTCAATATCTGTGTATCTTTGACAGTATTTTCTATAGAAGTGGCTTGCAGCCTTGTGCTCCCTATTTCCTGTTTACCTAAGAAAACACACATACACAGACATACACAGGCACACACACACACACACACACACACACACACACACACACACACACACACACACACACACACACACACACACACACACACACACACACACACACACACACACACACACACACACACACACACACACACACACACACACACGCACACACACACACAGTTCAGACCACACACAATCGTTTCATCCATCAATGTTCCAGTAACGATTATTCAACGCTTTCCTATGGTCGTCAAAATGGTTAAAAACAAACGTTGGCTGAACAATTATTAGAAATGAGATAACTGTAAAATGGTTTATATTGAAATATATCCTAATTTTTAACGTACCTTCACAACAGTTTCGATCACTGTCAGCGATCTTTATCAAGTGACCTACGTCATCATAGAAAGAAGCCCAAAGCCAGAACACCCGTGGCGGGGGCCCCAAAGATCCTGTGACGTCACGCGAATACTACGTCATCGACTGCCACCTATGACGACGTGGGTCACTTGATAAAGATCGCTGACAGTGATCGAAACTGTTGTGAAGGTACGTTAAAAATTTGGATATATTTCAATATTAATCATTTTACAATTATTAGAAATTATTACTGAATTTGTATGCAGTATATATGTATGTTATATATATATATAATATATATAATTATATTATTAGTCTGATTGATAATATCTGGTTGAAGTGCAAATGGCCATACATTCCTCTGGACGCATGCATGCTCATGCATATACACACACGCGCGCGCACGTATGCACGCACACACAAACATCAAGCATGCATGTATGAATAAATAAATAAATAGACAAATGAGTAAATAAATAAATAAATAAATAAATAAATAATAAAATATATACAGCTGCGTACACGCACACAGACATCTCTCGTTCACTACGTAATTATAAGCGCTGGACGACAAGCGGTGTTCGTTGCTACACGACAAGAAGCGTTTGTGTATTTCCATTTATCATTCGCGTCGCCATATGTCGTTACTTGTGCGGGTAATTACCGCGTAACAGCAGCACAGCAAGCTGCCGTATAGCGCCATGCAGACCCAGCGAGCACAAATAGGAAGGCATCGCATGCTGGCGCAAAACTACCACGGATATTTTTCATTCTAATATAACCTATCCATTCAGGGAATCTTAATACTGGTACTGTATGTCTAATAAAATAATCGAATAACAGTTATACGTCTATATATATATATAACTTGATATACAGTGTGACACAACACTAATGGAAATATAATAACGGGTTGTTTTGTGAATGTGCTGCGTTCATATTATTTTCAGTTTTTATACTGACTCTGTCCCAAGTGCCTGTGTTGTATACAGTGTGTTTGTATTTCATCGCAGATGTACCCCATTTCTCACGCTCTCTTTCTCTGTAAATAATGTCACCGAAACATCAGACACCAATTTTAAACGCATTATATTGCGGAAATACAGAACTGCGCACCGAATCGCACACATTGTGTCTTCTCTGGCATGCCGCACACATTATGCTATTGTTCCCAAATTAACTGCTGGATGCGTGTGTTTGTGTGTGTGCGCAGCTGTGTACACGTGTGTGAGTGCATGGGCGTTGTGTGCGTGGAAACGCATGCGCGTGTGCGCGTCCAGGCATGCGTGCATAGGTTCGTCGATCATTCATATTAATTTACACAATTTCATTTATATTAATACAGGATTTGCAAAAAGCAAGTATACATGCATACGTATACATATGCATACAATTATGCGTATGCATTAATATACTGTATCCAATATGTATGGTATGCATGCACGACTTACGCTGTCGAGACATCGTCTTTCAACAGAGAACCCTCTCTTACAGCAATTGCGAACGGTTTACGACTGAACTCTTCACCCACAGCGATATATCCACAGTTTTCCACCATTGCCCACCTTATGTGCGTAGCATCTCCTGAAAGGGATCAGAAGTACGAATAGCAAGCACATCGATCCAGAATAACGACGTATCTCACGGCCACACGCGCGTCGCCGCAGATATAGCGTCCGCAATTCATGGACTCATTTCGTCTAACATAAGGCGCGTTCACACGGACGTTTTTGGCCCGAGCCTAATTAGGCCCGAGCCAGATTTGGCCCCATCGAAAACGTCGGACCAGGCCCGAGCCAAATTTGGCCCGAGCCAAATCTGGCCCATTTGGCTCGAGCCAAATCATGACCGTGTGAACGCGGCTATAATGTTATCAGGGTAATTAATATACCGAAGGGTAATAACAAAGTATTGTCTGTTGCTAGCATTCATATTGAAAATATGTTTCTCCGTTTTCTGTTGTCATCTTTCCGTCTTCTTGCCCCTACCTTTCCACGAGCGTACGTGCACACGCACGTCTGCCAGGTTTATACATCTTAATGTACTCAATGCATACTAATGTTTATATGCACATGTATCATTACATGTATTAACGATGTGTCCTCTGATATGTGCACCGTGATTCCCGCTCTCGATTAAAACCAATATATTACAACGCCACACTGTTAATGATGTATAATTATATGGTAGAGTAATGAATTAAAAATATAATTGCTGTATATGTATCAACAATAAAGCATTGTACTGGAATGCGTTTAAAGGAGGCATAGTAGACTTAAAACGGCACGAATCATTACATTGTAGTTATCAAGATTTAAGGCTTTGTGATGATATCCATGATTGAGAATTTGTCTTTTCTGTTGTTGAAGAGCTAACTGGTTGATTATCAGGTGACATTCTTTTTACTCATGTCGCAACGTATTGAGTCAATCTATCTATATATATATATATATATATCCATCCACCTATTCGTCTATTCACCGATTCATCGATCCATTCATCAATCCATTCATCTATCTCTCCGTCCGCCCGTCCGTCCTTTCGCCCGTCCGTAAATCCATCCTTCCATCCATCCATCCATCTAACCGTCCGTCCGTCCGTCCATCCGTCCGTCCATCCATCCGTCCGTCCGTCCATCCATCCATCCATCCGTCCATCCATCCATCCATCCATCTATCTTTCCATCCATCCATTAATCCATCCATCCGTCCATCCATCCATCTATCCATCCATCCATCACTCAATCCATCCATCCATCCATCCATCCATCCATCCATCCATCCATCCATCCATCCATCCATCCATCCATCCATCCATCCATCCATCCATCCATCCATCCATCCATCCATCCATCCATCCGCCCAACCAGCCATGGTCTCTAGGTCGTTGATACGATATTTACTGAAAATACTGCCAAAGCTTTATGTTATTACACTTTGCGTCGCGTTCATGATAACCTATAGTCGCAAAGTATATATTGATATAGTGTATTACCAAATTGGCAATGTTTAATTGAAGCAATGTCTCATTTCTGAAATTCAAAATGATTGGAAATCTAAAGTGACAGAGAACACGTATGTATAATTAACCGCTAACGATGAAAAAAGCGCAATGGCATTCGCCAATAATACCATAAGCACGGCTATTTTGCGTGGGTCTTGAGATGGTATAAAGTGTATTCTCTGCTAATGGATACATTGAATGGTTTCTATTTAATCATTTCTATACATACAACGATGGACAAGGGAACAGGATGCATGCATATATACAAATATTGCTAGCATCATGCAGGCAACGATCACCGACGCACTGACCACAGTTGCGTCTAAATTTATACGGTCCTGTAGATGTTCATATTGATCAAATCAGTGCAACCCTCGTTACATATACGCATGTGCAGCATATAGGGAGGGGTACGCGGAAACAGTAAAACAACGAGGAAAACAGCCAAAGCCAATCCTCATGGCCAATCGCTACGGGGTTACGTTGTTACCTTGTTACTTACGCGCTCGAAATATCATCCTTAAGAGGTGAACCTTGCGGCACAGCAATACCGAATGGTTTGCGACTAATATCCTCGCCAACAGTCATAAAGCCACAATTTTCCTGTATGGCATAGTCGATCGTTGTAGAATCGCCTGCCATTATATTGTAAAGTTATAATCTTCCATCCACTATATAACACGCGATGTTATAGTCGTACTCACGTTGCGCTACTAGGTTGTTGAACAAGCTAGAATTACGGCGAAGGTTTCGCGTCACCTCATATTACAGAGACATTATATCTGCGCCATCACCAAGGTATCCGATCGGTTGATTTGTTGATGTTAACAACTCGATCTCAGAAAGTACACTTTGATTAGAGCTAGAATATCACATGTGTTGTTCCGCATGCTAATTTTGGTTGGCTGAAACTACACTCTGGTCCTTACGTCGGAAAACACATGTATATAATAATGCTGTTCTTGCACCGTGCTAGTCGAAGCCCAAGTATCATAGCATAAACACTTTTATTCGACTATTGCAATAGTATAGGGCCGACAAAGACACGGCGCGTTCCATGCATGCGTGTGCTCGCTGCGACATTCACTCGTGTTTTTTCGTTGTTAATTTCGAATGCGGTAATTCTCAATTCAGCGTTATTTTGCCATTATCATACATTATTGTCGTTATTCATGGAGCACTGTAGAGCAACAATGAATTATATAACGTAATGAGAAAATAAATGCTAAATGCGTGATTATTTCAGTTGTACGTGAATAGAGGTTCTCTATTCGTGTCTCTATTCACGTACCCCTGACCCTGTATTTTATGGAATAAGTTATAAATTACGTGATACACACACACACACACACACACACACACACACACACACACACACACACACACACACACACACACACACACACACGCACGAGACGCACATACGCACACACGAGCGACGCAACACTCACTGCACGGGCACGACACGCTCGGGCACGGCAAGCACGCAACGCACGCACGCGACGCACGCACGCGGGACGCAACCGACGGCACAGACTGCACGCAGGCACCACCAGCACACCACGACCCGACACAGGGCACCACAGTGAGTGATATCTAAATAAGATATAGGTATAGTGTATGATAAAATATGCTAGTAGCGTATATAACTTATAAGTGCTCGATTTGATGAATTCTTTGGAGTATATTACTGCTCATGAACCTCTTCCTGCGTGAAAACGATCGTGAACATGTTGAAGGTCGCCCAATATGCCAATTTGCAAGTACGAATAAGGCCACGCAATCTCTAAGCAGAATTCTTTATACTGTAGAAGATTTGATCCTAGGAGAATCCATGAGTTTTTCATCGGAACACTCGTAGACTTTACTAGGCGCTCCAAATGTCAAATCTTTCGAGGCGGGCAATATGCGTACGACCCCCCCCCCGCCAAGTTAGCGCGCTGGATTGAGATTTTTATCAATAAGCAGTTTCGGACTGCTCAAGGCATGATTTCTACCCACAAGTATCCGATTAACATTCCACTTACACGGATGCACGCCGACTTCGCGGCTAAACTCGTGTGCGTGTTCGCGGTCTAAAAGAATTGAAACGAACTTGCCTACGTAGGCAAACCCAGAGGTTGCCGTGTCGGAGTTCCGCACTCTATCCAGCGCATGCTCGAAGCTCTTCGAGTGATCCAGAGAAAAAATCCTGTAGCGTTCATCTGCTGCCACATCTTCGTGAACTTGTCGCTGACGGGGTAGTCCCAGACGGCCAACTTCGCGCGCTCTACGTCGCTCAGTGAATCGTTGAGACTCATGTCCTTCCAAATGCTGTTTTCGTAAATTGAGCAAATTTAGCGTCGCCTGCTAATAACCATTATCCGCTAATCATTTCGTATTTTCCGGGCATATCGCTGTTGCTGCCGCCGCCGCCGCCGCCGCGGTTGGTGGTGGTGGTGGTGATGTGGTGGGTAGGTGGTGGGGTGTGGTGGTGGTGGTGTGGAGGTGGTGGTGGTGAGTAGTGTTGGCGTAGTGGTGATGGTGTGGTGTGGGTGGTGGAGTGTGGTGTGAGGTGGTGGTGGTGGTGGTGGTGTAGCCTGGTGAGTGGTGGTGGTGTGGTGGTGTGGTGGTGGTGTGTGGTGTGGAGGTGGTGTGGTGGTAGTAGTGTAGGCGTAGTGGTGATGGTGTGGTGGTGGTGGTGGTGTTGGTGAGGTGGTGGTGTAGTTAAGTGTTTGGCGTAGTGGTGAAGGTGGTGGTATGTGGTGGTGGTTGGTGGTGGCGGTGGTGGTGGTGGTGTGTGGTGGTGGTGGTAGGGTGGTCGGGGTGGTGGTGGTGTGGTGGTGTGGTGTGTGGTATGGTGGTGGGGTGTGGTGGCGGGTTTCGGTGGTGGTGATGGTGGTTAGTGGTGTGAGTGTGTGGATCGGTGGTGGTGGTGGTGGTGGTGGTGGTGGTGGTGCGGGTGGTGGTGGTGGTGATGGTGGTGATGGTGGTGATGGTGGTGATGGTGGTAATGGGTGTGGTTGTGGTCGTGGTTGTGGCCGTAGTTGTGGTGGTGGTTATGGTGGTAATGTTGGTGGTGGTGTTGGTGGTGTTGGTGGTGGTAATGGTGACAGTGGTGGTGGTGGTCGTCGTCGTGCTGGTGCTGCTGGTGCTGGTGCTGGTGATGCTGTTGTTGCTGCTGCCGCTGCTGCTGGTGGTGGGTGGTGGTGCGTGGTGGTGGGTGGTGGTGTAGGTGGTCACGGGTTGTGGTGGGGTGGGGGCTGGTGATGGTGGTGGTGGTGATGGTGGTGATGGTGGTGATGGTAGTGATGGTTGTGGTTGTGGTTGTGGTGGTGGTGGTGGTGGTGGTGGTGGTGGTGGTGCTGCTGCTGCTGCTGCCGCTGCTGATGGTGGTGATGGTTGTGGTGGGGGTGATGGTTGAGGTGGTGGTGATGGTTGTGGTGGTGGTGATGGTGGTAGTGTTAGTGGTAGTGTTGGTGGTGCTGGTGGTGGGGATGGTGACAGTGGTGGTGGTGGTTGTCGTCGTGCTGGTGCTGCTGCTGGTGGTGATGCTGATGCTGCTGTTGCTGCTTCCGCTGCTGTTGCTGCTGCCGCTGCTGCCGCTGCCGCTGCTGCTGCTGGTGGTGGTGGGTGGTGGTGCGTGGTGGTGGGTGGTGCTGGGTGGTGGTGGGTGATGGTTGGTGATGGTGGGTGGTGGTGCGTGGTGGTGGATGGTGGTGGGTGGTGGTGGGTGGTGGTGCGTGGTGGTGGGTGGTGGTGTAGGTGGCGACGGCAGTGGCCGCGGCGGTGGTCACGGGTGGTGGTGGGTTGGGGGTTGGTGGTGGTATAATAATGGTGATGATAGTACTGATGATGAAGAGGAGAAGGAGTAGAACGACGCGTGAGAGGAGAGGGGGTGATGGGAGAGGGGTAGGGAGGGAAGGGGAGAGGGGAAACGGGAAGGGAAGCGGAGGATGGTGGGGAAATAAGGAGAAATAGTAGATATAATGCGAGGAGTAGCTGTAGCAGTAGCAGTAGAAGACGAATACGGTTACGCTACCGAGGAAGAAGATGAGGGAGATGGAGAGGGCGACGACGACGACGACGACGACGACGACGACGAGGAGGAGGCGGAGGAGGAAGAGGAAGAGAAGGTGAACGGAAAGAGACAGGAGAGCGGAAAGGGTGGAGGAATCGTATATATATATACATATAATGCTATTAAAATTTGTAGCAGTGGCAACAAATGCTGAATAATAAGTTATCGCGTGCACGACGCACAATTAATTTAAGTAGCGGATACGAAAGACTGCCACGACGATATCGTAACCCTACGTATAGAAGCGCTCCTCGATGTCAGCCATGCGTTTGAAGTACGTCCATGAGGCTGTGCCATCTATCGGGCCGTAGCCTATGTCGTACTGGCTAGCGAGGTCTGCCAGCGACTGTATGGGCGACTCGAAGCGTTGCACGGTGAGGAAAGCGGCCAGGTTTGCCGTGTACGAGGCGATCATGATGAAGCCAAACATCCACCAGGTGGCGGCGACGAGTCGTCCCGACACGCTTTTCGGTGCTTCGCCACCGCCTGCACGACGTATGCACGCGGGTTAGCAATGCAACAGCGCTTCGGCCTGCGATAAGTAATTACTGTGCGTGCATGTGTATATATTTGCAGACGGGATTGTTTCTATCTTTTACATTATTGATGTAAAAGATCCACCTGTATATACCACATCCTAAATTCTAGATAATGTTACTTTCATAGCCTTTACAGCGCAATTCTTACCACAGCAGATGTACTTCCGATCACCATTACATATATATTTTATATTAATTAAATATGCATAATGAGCTTTGATAAGAAATATGTGCTAGTATCATAAACACATCTATTCGACGTGTTGATATAACGACTAAATATACGATACCTTGCGGAGTCAGTGACGTTATGCAAAACCACAGACCCTCTTTAATTGTGAAAACTCTTTGCTCATCATCTCCTTCGTATTTCTCCTTATTGTTCTGATAGCTATACGGACTATAGCGGTCGAATAACCACAGAAGTATCCCTGCCAAAATGTAAACGAATACACTATAATTTAGAGCTAGAGTATATTCCAACTCGCATATATCATACGGAGCGTATATATATACATATATATATATATATATATAGGCTTATATATATATATATATATATATATCGGTGCCCAGATGCTTCAACGACCAGTATCGATTATTAACGCAGTTGCGCTAAATCGCGCAATAACTTCGTTCCTTGTATATCAAACACTTAACTCCTGCAAACAGCTACAGTTCGACTATGAGCCAAACAGCTTTTTCACTGCGTATGCGATTTTTAAAGCAAGTGACATAGTGACATAAACGCGTGTGACATAAAAGCGTGTGACATAAAAGCAAGTGACATAAACAGTGTTTAGAATTGCTCGTGCGCTACGACATTTCCATTAAAGGTGCCCTGCCTCGAACTTTCAAGCTGCAAGCATAAAATCAGGCAAAAATAAATTATTTTAACATTGCACGTTTGTACTTGCCTATATATGTGTGATAGATAAAAAAAAATGCGCAGGAATACGTTCATTCAAAGCTTCATGTGTTATATGATATCTGTGGCTGTGCTGGTTATACGTGACCTGCGTCGACTCTTGCCGCCATGATACATAACCGCGGCGAAACACGTTTTCGAGTTTTTTTTCGTTGAGCCATTATAGGCTTGATACATATTTGACAGTTTTATTTTCAAAGCTAACGTTTAGTTAAAGTGTAGTGAGTTATTGACTTTTACGTTTCTACAGTGGTTTGTCACAAAAATGTGCGCGGGAATGCATCTTTAAGTTTTGTATTTCAAATAATACAAAGTGTCATCGAGGAGTGCGAGGTAACCTCGTCCGCAATAGTTAGCTCATTGTTAGCACTTATAATAGTTATGCCAATGGAAAATCACGTTTTCTGATTGGCTAATAGTGTATCACATATAACACACAAGGCACGATATAAGGCGCAACGCTTCAATGCGGCAAATAGGAAACGCAAAACTAGCTTTCCGCCAACTGATCTGCATTACATACGTAAATCAAATGCCATATAGACGTCTAAAAAGCATGGAAAGTGCGATTTGTCTTGTCGAGAATGTATGTCATTCTGTCAAGTGACGTCGTATTGTGATCCGTCCGCTGTGTTTGTGTGCGAAACGGGATCCAACAACGTGCTGGACACATATAGTTGAAGTTTCGAGTGAAGTTTGGGCATTAAATCCGTGGTCATTTAGCATGAATAAAGTGCTAGTGTGTAAAGTGCGCCGAAACTCTCTAAGTAGTTTTAATGTGTCATACTCATTCGAACCTGATGCCTATGAACTACTGTTGCAAAACACCTAAACATTGTTTCTTGTATTATTTGGCAGTGAAGGCCAAGAGGCGGTTTAATTAGAGACCACAACGTTCGCTAATCACACGCACACACCTGTCAAAAAGTAGGCAGCAGCAAAACAATACCAGACCGGAGGTTCCAGCACTGCTGCAAACTTCATTAGCGTGTACTCGAACTTCGGTGCTTTCATCAATATTTTTATTCCAACTAAGTCGTAGAATGGCACAGTGAAGTCGACGACATTTTCGCGTTCTGCCATCACTGATAGGTCTGCTACGGCCATGTCTGCATTCTAAAACAAATGTCAAAAGAACACTCGGTAAATAAAACCCAAACAGCTAACTTATATTGGAAAACATATAAGTATTGGAAACTCCCCCCCCCCACACACATATATATATATATATAATACCGGGTCATACCAAAGACTTGATATATATATCTATATCTGTATATATATATGTATAAGCAAGGACGTACGCACGCACATCTATATGTATGGAGATTACCCCTTTAATAAGCTCCTGGACCATTCCATTCCATTCGCCGCTTTCACTCAGCGAGCCATACATGCCATCTGGTGCTTCGTACAATTCGTACTCAAATTTCAAGATGCCCTTAATAAGGTCCATGAGATCTTTGCAGTAGCCGCTGTATGTCGTCACGTTGTTTACTGTCTCTTTCATGATGAACGGCGGTTGCTGTAATCACGTACAAACGGCGTCATTTAAGTTTTGCCATCACGATCACATCTACAGCAAGCAATGTATTATACTCACACGTTAAATATAGAGAGACTTCCTAATGATGGTTGATAATAGGATGACTATCCGTGCAACGTGCGTAGACTATACTGCATGTACTTCGTGTGCTACGCGCATGCTGTGCAATTTTTAAAATTTTCGAGAGCGAGAGAGAGAGCCCAGAGGCAATTGTAAACTGGGTCAATTGGGTCAATTGGGTCAATTGGTTCAACTGGGTGAGATTGATTGCTTACATGAATGTGATAAGTATAACACGCCGTGGTTTATGAAGTAATTTTTCAGCAGTTCAGTTGCTTCTACAAAAATGCGCGAGAAAGAAAAATTCTGCAGATATATATGTTCTGTAGTTAACGTCATAATTGGAAAAAGCAAAGCGCTTATTAGCCTACCACAACAGTAACTATCATGTATCGTTTGGCGCCGTTGTTATTAGTCAGTGACGTATACTCAGGTTCCAACTCAATTCCTTGATCAGCCCGCCAGATGGCGACCTTCTTGAATGACTCGACCTTGCCGTTGACTACTGTCGCCCAGGATATTCGAAGTCCCATGTTCATATAATTTGTACTGTCGAATGCCCATGTGCCGTAGATACCGCCTGTCATGTTTTGCTCTTGAAACTGCATCAAGAAATTAGCAAAATGTGATAAACGTGCTACGATTAAAAGCATTTCTGGGCAGAGTAAAAAATGAATATGACTACTAAAAATGCTTTCACAGAAAAGGATCTCTCTATATCTCAGTGCTACTGTTTTCTGATCAACAATCGCTTCCTGCACAACTTTCGTTCAGCTTTTTTTCAACTTTCTCAAGTAGCAAACAAATATTGCCGTCAATTTTACCATCGATTTTTCCGCTCGCTAGGATGTGAAGTCACCTGTTTCATTGTGCTGCTAACGTTCATAGAGGGGCCGCTCAATTGCGAGCTGCTCCTGCAGTCGCCGCTCAACGGGACTATCCATCGACCGGTATCCATGAGCTCTAGGACGGCCCGGGAGACAAGCGCAACGAGATCTACGTAGAAAGCCGCCTCCATTTCCTCAGCCTCCCAGCCCCTCAGGTTCTCGGTGCCATGAGATTTCAAATACATGTCGAAATTATATCTGCGCAAAAGAGAAACAATGGCGGCCACGAAGCGGCAACAGAACATCTCAAGGAATGTTGACACCATGAGAAATTCATTCGCGTTATAACTGCGTAGTTCACACGTACGGTGTAATTGAATTCGAGTTAAATATTTAAACCCTTGTTGACCGTAGGGTTAAAATTCCCATTGCGTGAACAAGGGAGATATTTAATTATAACTATTTATCCGGTATGTATTCGGTATACACCCGGTATGTACTTGCCATGTATTCGGCATGTACCAGGTATGTAGGCCTAGCATGTATGCTCCCGGTATGTAGGCCTAGCATGTATGCTCCCGGTATGTAGGCCTAGCATGTATATATGCGCCCGGTATGTAGGCCTAGCATGTATGCGCCCGGTATGTAGGCCTAACCAGGGGCGGCGCCAGGGTATTTTCTTAAGGGGGGCGAAAGGGCAGGGGCGTGGCAGACTGTACAGAGCGCACGCGAAGCGGGCGGGTATGGGGCTCTCCCATGAATTTTTTTAGAAATTAGACCCCTAATCCCACGATGCGTTTTCTGCGCTGAGCAAGGGGGGGGGGGGGTCGCGGACCCCCTGGACCGCCGCCCTGTGTACACGCCCCTGGGAACTGTAGTAGACTCGTGATACCGTGTGCGCTTGCACTGACGGGTGGTCCAGGGGGTAGATTCATGATTCATCAAGGCTGCGTGACGAAAAATATTTTGCGTAAATCTGTGTGTACGCAATCGACGTTGCTTAGTTGCGATTCATCAACACAGCTATTTTTAGTAAAATTTTCGTACGATTTCGCGTACGCAAGCGAGGCGTTTTATGTGCGATTCATCAAGCTAAAATTTTACTTAAACCTTTGCGTAACTTTACACGAGCTGACGAGGAGTGCCGTAAACCACTCGAAATTTTCGCAGGTGTTTCCAGCATACCGGCAGCATGCATTACTTTATTGAGAAAACATTATAAAATTACTACTCAACTAGAAAAAAATAAAAAAATTGGCATAGCTTGGCATTGTTTTGTCGTTATAAGCGAGTTTCGTAGTTAGCCGTGCACGTTCACACGCCGTGCGCACTTGTACGTGCACCACGCACGCAGCTTGTACGTGTACACAAGCACGCAGCGGTACCGTAACACACGACGCGACGCCAGGCCCGTGTACGTACGCAAGCCGCACGTGTTACGTGCACACGCACGCACGTGTACGTGCACACACACGCACAGCACGCAGCCACCCGTGTTGTGCACACGCACGCACGCACGCGTACGTGGTCGTTGCTTTCATCGAGTGTTGAACACAATCATACAAACAAAAATGGAGGACAATATCACATCCTCCAGCAACTCCTTGAGACGCTAGAGCATTATGGTTTACATACCAGAGAGGCGTCAGTTTGTTCCTATGGTAATGTGTCGCACAGTGTGATTGGTTTTATGCTAGGCACGCCCCTCAACAGCCAGCAGCTGCAATGGCCGTAGTGAATTTACCCCGAAATTCATCAACATTTTCGGTTACACAGGTGCTACGCTGCGTTGATGAATCGCACCTGACGCTTCTGCGTACGTACTTTCGTAGAAACTCTGTGTATGCAATACACTTTGCGAACGTTGACGAATCCGGCCCCAGGGGACCCGTCTTAGTGCCCTGACAGGGGTCCGGGGAGCTCTCAGAGTTGAGCTAATCAAAGCCCTCAATTGCTGACAAAAAAATTGTGCAGGAACCAAGGAGCAACATATACCAAGGAGATGGAAACCCGGGGGGGGGACTCACCCCACATTATGGTTAGGTATCTGGTATGTGCCACTGCGAAGTTAAAATGGGGGGGGGGGGGGCTCTGGAACTAACTCAGACCTGAAAATGGTGGGTCTCTGGAACTAATGTTTTTGAATGTGGTATGCTCTGGAACCGGCTATGTTCGAAAATGGGGTCTCCGGAACTAGCTAGGATTTCGTTGAAATGGCAATGCTATGGCAACTGGACACGTTTAAAAGAGGGGGTCTCCGGACTGTGGGGGAACAGTGATATTGCCTTTAAAATCTATGCTGTGACACTTGAACCAATAATTGTTGTATTATGTAGAGAGAGAGAAAAAACATGACCCGGAGCGAGATGAACGCACGCACACGCCAACACACACACACACACACACATCACACACACACACACACACCACACACACACGCAACACACGCACGCGCGCCGCGCGTGACGCATACACACATAACTAAAACTAGACAGAGGGCACTACGGAGAGAGCAAAACCTCCGCCAGCGACATGACGCCGTTACGCCATAGGACTCGACGAACACACGAATAACCCACGATATTACGCCAGACGTACAATGTATGCTCGTTCGCCGCTCAGTCAGCAGCAGCCGGCTGTGGCTGGCTCGCTCGCTGACGGCGCAATATCGATCGCGTGCAGTCACACACACACACACACACACACACACACAACACACACACACCACACACACACACACATACACACACACACACACACACACACACACACACACACACGCCACACACACACACACACAAACACACACACACTCACAAACACACACGTAACGGTGTACACGAACGCACAGAACCGATCACAGTAACCTCTCTCTCACTCCGGTGGCGAAGGTAAAAATAAGATCGCATGTAGAGTATTATTAGAGGTCAGTCTGAACGTTGTGTGTAATTATAATTTAAAAGTTGTTAACACCCTCAAGTGTGCCTACCTTTCCGCGGGAAACAGCATCATCGACAAATGATGAGTCCCAACTTTAGAGGACTTGGCTAAGATATGTATGCCACATAATTTAGGAAGGATATCTTAATTGTTATAGGCTAATTGACCCCAAGGAACAACTTGGGATGTGCCAAAATCTCTATCCGGGGCGCAACAGCCCGAAAATGACCACGCCCTTTTTCATCGAAAATGCTACTACCGAATAGCTGTATGCTTCAAATGTTCAGAGATGCCATTACATGCCTAGGGGGTCATAGAAGAGTGTGGAAATTTGATATTTCACGAGAAAATAGCTAAAAAACCATTAGGTCAACTTATTCACCATAAACAACTAACTACTATTACTGAATTGCCATTATATTTATAACAGTTGATATATCCTCTCCTAAATTAAGTGCATACTCCCTCTAAGAAGTTCCCACTCCTCTACGACTGCTACATGAACGGTGGATTTGTCGTGAACACCACCAGGAAAAGTAGTGGAGAGCACTTTGACCAGGCGCTAGAGCAGCGCTACAACCGGCCTGCCCAGTGGTGGGGGATAATTGGGGTCACCAGGAAGAAGGAAGGCCGTTGCTCTGTGGGAAATCATCAAGCATAAAAAAGAGCATTACATTGACCTCTCTGAAGATGAAGGATGATATCAAAGGAGAACTCTCAGTTCACCACGAGTTCAACCCGAGTAATGCAACTAAGATAGTTGGGGATGGTGCAAGACATGTAGAGAGTATTTCCTAAGGTATGCAGCCCTCTACAAGACCAGGTAGCGCTGAAGAATGTTCTCACTGGAGAAATTTGTGACACAACGTTACGTGTAGACAATGTTGTTGCGCTGTATCAATGGAGGGCAAGCGCTGCCATGTGCTAAATTTATCGATGGAATCGACTCAGAAATAATGTCGTATATTTGATACACTCAATTTAGCAAAATCAAGTTTAGGTCCTCTAAGAGTAAGACAGCTTGAATTTTGGCTCCAAAGAGATATCAAAATGAGACAATCAAAGTTCTTCATTTTATTGATGTATGGGTGGTACGGGGGTTCACTGTTGAAGAACGTCTCAGCATGAGCTGCAGCCACTTGCGCCGTTCTTCTTGGTTGACAAAGATGGTACTTGAGGAAGGTGCAAATCACAACTTGGGACTTGAGCTTGCTGAGGTTGTGGCCCACTGAAGATAAAAAGGGCCAGAAGCCTCCCCACACACCACGCCATCGTTTTATCGACTTATTGCTTGTGAGAAGGCCCTCAAGGATTCATGACTTTGCTTCTGCCTGTGACATCTATGTGTCACCAAAAGCTGGGCACAAACTGATGAGATCCACATCGTTATTACGATGGCTTACAGAGAGGACCGGCATCAAGAATGGAGAGAGGGACGAGAGAGGAGTCAAACAGAAATGGTGTCCCTTGCAGTGCGATATCACGCCCGAACCAAACCTTGTGCCGTGGTATTTAGAGAACTTTTGTCGTCTTCCACATCAGCAAAACTGTTTCCATTGCATTCGGATGTTGACGTGGATCACCACAATTAACCAAGGCACCAAAACCTCTATCCTTGGTAGTATCACCAAGGCATAGGATGGTGTCAGCTGGTGTGCCATCTCCATTTCCTTGGCGCAAACTGCACACATGAGGAAGCTGATGACAGGATTGATGTTCCATGTGCAGGACATTCTAAGTCACCGGTCCAGGAGCTACATGTCCATGATTGCTGTCATCAGGTTGCAACAATATGTCTTTGTGTGCCGTTATACCACATCACAGTCAATTGGGAAGAGATCTTGGCCTCTAAGACCTGTCTCATTCCGCAACTATCAGGAGTGAAAAGATCAATATTACCTCACTCCCGATATCTCTGCATAGCGCTGGGAGACGAGCTCGTCTAAGTGGTCTCCAAGCACTGCCTGCGTGACTGGGTGCGATACAACCAGCAAAGGTAACTCAAAACTTTTCAGCCTGAACGCTGTCCGCCAAACCGGAAAATTCCTCTCTGATCCTGATTTCGACTGTCACAGCTAACAGAAAGCGCAATACAACTGGCGAAAACATTCTTGGTCAAATGTTTCAAACCATCAACAAGACCTGAAGACATTTGACGCACTGCGTCTCGCTGCATTTGATAGCAATGCCACTCAAGATGGACTTTAGAGAGAACGCACTTGCCACCTCAACTAATGGAAGCAAAACATATCCATAGAGCTATCACCAGCAGCAAGCTGTGGGTCCGAAGCCCCAGTTAGAGATG